ATGGTATAACTGCTAGGATGGGGTTCCAAAGAGAACATGAAGTCCTTGTAAAGCAGAGCATGTCAAATGGCTGTTATGGTGAGACAGACTTAGGGGTGCTAGCAGTGAAAGTCTTGTTGCTGCCCTGGGGAACTCTGAGGAAAGGGCAAGCAGAGAACACCAGGGCAGTTTGGCCTCTGGTGGGGAACTGTTTTCAGATGTTCAGGAAGGAGAATACATTAATGTGGACAAGTAGTTTTCCTGCTGTTTTGCTTATTATTAATGAAGCAATAAATTAATCAGTTAGCCTGTTATTACTGGGAACTTTCTAGGCATTCAGAACTTTTTTACGAAATCCAGGAAAAGAAGTACAAGTTATGAACTCTGTCTAAAAATCGGGTACAGAAAGAATAGAGAATTCTAAAATTCACAAAATCATGTTAAACAAAATAAGCCAGACTCAGAAAGTCAAGGAAGGGTCATGCACTTTCTATCATATGTCAAACTAGAGAGGGAAAAAATGGAAAAGAAAAGATATCTAGTGAAAATAGAAGGAAAAATGGTAAGGCAGAGGAAGAGGATCAAATGGAGGGAAAAGAAGGAGAAAGGGAGATATTGGGGAATAAATAGATCAAATTGTTATGTGCATGTACAAATGTGTCACAATGAATCCCAATAATATGTATAATCAGAATGCACCAATAATTTTTAATGGAGTGAAAGAACATGGACTTTGAGTATCTGCCTTTAGAAATTCATTTGATTAAAAATTTCCAACAGTAAAAAAAAATCCACAAAATCTAGCCCTCAAGGAGTTTATTACCTACCTGAAGTATTGTGAGAATGCTGCCTTTTCTCAGAGATTCTATAAGCAGTACTATGAAAAATGTCTAAAGTAAGGATAAACATAATAGTCACTCCATAAGAGAAATGGACCCTGGCAATAATAATAACTAGTGTTTCTTGAACCTTATTTAATTCAGGCACTACTTAATCTCTTTTTTTGAATTAAATTAATCCTTGCAACAACTCTCCAAGATAGACATTATTTTCATTGCCATTTTATAGGTGGGTAAATTGAGGTACAGGCAGATAAGTAACTTGTTCAAGACCAAATGAATACTACTAAGTGTGTAAGCCAGGATTTATATCTGGGAAGTTTGACTTGATACCTGGTCTCTTAATCACTGTGCCACAGCAACTTTTTAAATATAGACAATGATCAAAACTGACTGTTTTCTGATAACAGTAGCAACTTCCAAAGACTGGGTAGTTCTGAGCAAATTCTCTCTGGCCTGAGTCTTGTAGTTAACATTAGTGATAGAACTCTAACCCAGACCAGAGTAAAATGATTGATATGTTCAGTGGACAATCTTTGGACCCATTTTGCTAGTTCATCAACATTTTTTGGTAATTGCCGAATCTCAGGCTATGGAAGCAGACCTTGCTGCCACTCTGAATTTAACCTCTCTGGTTACTATCAGTGCCAGGAGGAAAGGATGGTATCTCTGGTCTGAGAGGGCCAGTAAAGGAGAATGACTGATCTAAGGGCAGATACCAGGATTGAAGATGTATGGCTTGGAGATGGGGAAAACACAAACCTATAGTGTGCTCCCTAATTAGGTGCAATAATAATTCCTATAAATAAACATTTAGACAGTGATATTTTGCATAAAAGAGGGTGTTTTGCAGTTAATAAAATGTGAATTCATTTCAAAATGTTGCTGATAATGAATTCATAGTACTTTTTGTCATGAATTTTCTTAAGTAGTATGTGCCATAAAAATAATTATTATCACAAAGTGGAGAAGACATGTGAACTTCTTTTAAACATAAACAGGACTCTTTTATACTTAAAAAGGGTGAAAAACATGTCTAGAACAGTGGTCTCCAATCTTTTGTGAGTTAGTTCCCATCACTTGAAAGATTTGAGCAAACATACTCTGTATGTGTATATTTATTATATATTATGTACAACAGTATTGATTGATATGCCATGTAATATTATAAACATTTGTAAAAATAGAAAAAAAGAATAAGATAAAAAAGATAGTAGAGAAATTTTTATTTCCATCCCCTATACACACACCTTATGTACCCATAGGAATCCATTCTTCCTACCTGGGGACCAGAGTAGATCGTCAGAGGGTGAAAGGAGTGATGTTCCCCTTCAGGGCCTGCTTTAAAGTATAGTAAGTAGTTTTAAATCAAGATACAGTTTAGTTCGCTTAAGCTGTATTGGTCACTACCTCAGCTTTTCATCAGAAGGACCCCAGTGTGGGGCAGGGTAGCGTGGAGTCAGGGAATCCCACTGGATTGTTAATCAGCTGCAAAGCTTAGAGGAAAGTTACCTCCTGAGATTTCACAACCAGTCCTGGGCACTTTGGCAGGGAGGAGGCAGGCTTGCAAACCTCCAAGGACTGCCTTGAAGCCACTCTCTTTAGTGCCAATTGTTTTGCTTCCCATTCAGGAGCCCAGAGGGGTGCTGCTGTGCTGATGTGTGTGGTGTTTACCTGACTCCTCCTGAGAACCCAGGGAAGCATCTGAAATTGGTTGCTGCAATTCTTAATATAACATACTCCCAAGGGCCCACTTGGTTGTGGAAACTAGCCTGTTTGATCAAAAGACTCTCAGTTTCTCACTTTATTGTCTTGGTTTGTAAAGTAGAAATTCCAGCTTCTCAGGTCCCAGGCAGAGTTTTCTGTAGTCTACTAGTTTCTGCTTTCTTTCTGGAGACCTATAATGACTAAAGAAGCAACCCAACCTCTTCATCTTGACATCTGCTGTGGTTTAGATGTGTCCCCTCTAAAATTCATGTGTACAATGTGACAGTGTTAAGAAGTAGACCATGAAGAAGTGATTAGGTCATGAGCGCACCTCCCTCACAAATGGGATTAAGTCCCCTGTAAGAGTGGCTTCACGTAGAACTGAGCCCCTTTCTCTCTCTTTCCCCATGTGAGGACATGGAAAGAGAACCCAAATAACTAGAGGCCACTACCTTGATCTGGGTCTTTCCAACATTAGAACTTTAAGAAACAAGTTTCTATTCTTTATCAGTTACCCAGTCTGGGTAATCTGTTATAGTAGCATAAATACGGTAGCACCTAAGACTTCATTTTACATATCCAGTGCTTACTTTGTATATCTTTAAATTAAAAGTTATCCTTCAGTCAGGGTGGTCTTCTTACTACCTTCCCTAACACTCTTATAACCCCTTAGCCTCAAACACATATACGTGCATGTGTGTGTGTGTGTGTGTGTGTGCGCACACACACACACATACATTTGCTTATTCTGCTTTTATGGCTTTAGTCTGTTTAGTCCAAGTGGAAACTCTTCTTCTTCTCCATCCATCAAAATCCTGTCTACCCTTCAAAAACAAGTCCCGCTTCTTATATAAAGATTTTACTAAATTAGTGTCCATCCAGGTGTGAACCTCAGACAGCCTGCATTAATGTCACCTAAGATGTGACCTATGTAAATTCTTGGTTATCACCTGAGACCTTATTGCTTCTTGTAAATGTGAATTCATAGCTTTCTCCCCAGTTGCTTATCAACTGTAACCACTGAAGTGTGGCCCAGGAATCTGCATAGACAATTTGAGGACCACTGTCACTTGCTAACAGCTTTCTCTTTAACCACAGAGTCCATTTCTCTCCTCAGTTAAGACCTATAGAAACGATACCCCTGAGCGTTCAACAGAGAATGATTGGTTCAGGATTACATTTAGAACTTTCACAGAGGAGGCATCATTTCCTTGCATTGTGGCAACTCATTAATGAGGTCCTGCTCGTTAGAACATATAGGGCTGCAGGCATCAAGGTCACATCCTTTCAATTTATCCCTATTGCCTTTGACTTGAATCCATGCTGTGAAATCAGACACCAAGGGCCAAAGGCAGGGCGAGCTGTGTAGGACCTGGGCCAGAGGTGTGAAGTGAGGGGCACAGTGGGCATACTTGGCAGGGATGAATGTTTAGCAGCCCCTATGAGCCGAGAGAGAGAGAGAGAGAGAGAGAGAGAGAGAGAGAGAGAAAGAGAGAGAGAGAGATGAAAGGGAACTCCAGCACTGTTTTTTAATAGAGTGAAAGAGAGCTAGGATGGTATGTCCTCTTCTGGCCTTTCTTTGTCAGGGCTTCCCTCTTCCCATCAGGGAAAGGGAAAAACACAAGTTAGGCTAGAAGATGAGGATGTGCATTGAATGTTTCCAAGTCTACCTCTGTTAACTTGACAGACAGCTCTGGAAAGCACTTGGGAACACTAGCCTTTGAACAAGGGGAAATCCCTACCAGTCTGTCTAGCTGGGGTTTGGTATATTCCCTTTGTCTTCTTAGTGAGGGCCTCACTGCTTTAGAAACTGGATTCCTTTTATGTGTGTGTGTGTGTGTGTGTGTGTGTGTGACAAATTAGTATTACTAGCTTCATCTAGGATTTAAAAAAATGTCCAGATGGAAATAATTGGATTCATAAGCTTTATATTTATAGAATGCCTTTTCCAGAAAGCTCAAAGCACAGCACTCTATGGCATAACGTAGTTTGTTCCTGGACTATCTCCATGTGTCTGGTAAGGGGCAGCTTCTTTAATTATTGTTGTCATTTGACATTTGGAGTGGGGATAAGCTTTGTGGTTGGAAAGAATCACATGGTACTAGCAACAGAACTGGGGAGGGGGTTCTCAGCTTCCACTTCTGTCTCTATTAGTGATTTCCAAACTGAAGTCCACAGACTAATGCCAGGAGGGCTGCGTAAGGACCACTTGAGAAGTTAAAAATAGAAGTTTCTGGACTCCATTCTTCTAGGGATTCCAACTCAGGAAGTCTTGGGTGGAGCCCAAAAATCTATATTCTTTATAGATTTCTAGATAATTTCCAGCATTCTAGATAATCCTGATTCACAGCCAGGTTTAGGAACTAATGACTATATGACAGTTATACTGCCCACCTTCTCCTCTCCAGGAATGTCTTTGATTGGAACGTGGCTTTTTAACATCTTTTTTCCTGCCACCTGCTCTCTTTTTTCCAGGGCTCCCAGCTCAGGCCAAGAAACATGCTGAATCTGCCAAGAACATACTGTTGACCTGGAAGGGAAAAGCGTCCTCAGACAAGGAGAAAAAGGAAATCCTGGAAGCTCTGATCATGCTCAACTACACTCTGGGGGTGATCTGGCTCCTACAGAACCAATATCCTTTCATTTTCAGAAGGGTCTGGGGATCAGGACCACAGGGTATATACTCCAGGAGGGTCATCATGGGAGGGTGGGAGGTGACATTAAGTCCCTGTAGCTGCATCCCAGCCTCCAAGCCCTCCAAGCCTGTCTCCATCTAGAAGGTAGGCATTTTCCTCCCATGTTTAGTCTTGCAAGCTGTGAGTTGAGCCATCGGAACGATCTCACTAATGACATATCACTCAGCAGTTGAAAGTTCTCCATGTTTGAGGTGCTCTTCATTGAGCATACAAGAAAATAAGTATTAGCAATGCAGATGTGAGCAGTGGTGGTGGCAGTGTAAAAATGGAGAGAATGGGCAGTAATTTAAGTCTCAGTTTGGCAAACTAGACTACACATTGTAATTCCCTGGGAAATCTTAAGAATTACTGCTCTATGGATGCCAACCCAGAGTTTTTGATTTAGTAAGTTTGAGAAGTATTTATTCATTGAGATGTTTAGAAGTCCCCCACATGACTGAAATGTGTAGCTCAAACCCACTATTTATGGATTTTTGATTATTTTAGATTTTTTGGAATGTTGTTGAAAATATTGTCTGTGAAACTGGAAGCCAAGAAAACTAGATGAAAGAGGTCATTCTCCATGTCCCCAGAGGGTGACTGTGATATGTGGCCATGTTAGCTTTCTGTCATTCTGACAAATACTTGAGATACATCAGCTTATGGAGAAATTTATTTTGGAGAATTTGAAGGTTTTGGAGGTTTTAGTTCACAGTCTAGTGGCCTCTTTGCTTTTGGGCCTGTGGCAACACAGCACATCATGGTAGGGGCAAAACCTCAAATGAGAGAAGAAGGGGCTGGAGTCCACCATCTTTTTAAAGGGTGCACTTCCAGTGACCTCACATTAGGTCCTGCCTCTTAGAGCTTCTGCCACCTCCCAGTAGCACCATGCTAAGAACTAAGCCTTTAGCACATGGACCTTGGGGGACATTTAAGAACCAAACTATAATAGCACCTCTCCCAAGAAGCAAGTGATTTTTATAGTTACTGTCTCCACTAGAAAGATGCTAAGGGTCTCTTATGTTCATGAATAATCATGATGTTCTCTCTACACATTATTCCATTCTCCACTTTTTGATTCTGGAGCTCAACTTGTGAAATCTGATTTGTGTCCTTAGTCTATTATGCTCTTAGCAGGGGGCTACTGAAAATGTGGGAAATAGAAGGGTATTTGGGAATTGAGGGGATTCCCCCTGCTATTTGCCTCTGGCCCAAAACCTGCCTTTCCTGGATTTTCTAAGTGACCCAGAAAGTCCCTCTCAGCATAATTAGTTCCTCTCTTACCATTCCTATGAAACAACTTGGGAAAAATGAATAACTGTTGTCACGCAATAGATGCCGCTAAAGGAAATTTAGTGTAATTTACTGTTTCCATCCACACCTGCAAACCCTTACCATCCACTGCAGACCTGAATTTAGGCAATCTGCACAGGAAACTGAAGGCCCCGCTTTTTCCAGAGAATTCTTCCTTTTTGACAGAGAATACACACATATTTAAGTACCCATTTTCAAATACTGCTTCATTTTCCCAAGGGGCCCTTTTGTTTGCTTATCAACTGCTGTCCCTATGCAGTGGCAGTTAGTTTGTGTGCCTGGAATTTGCCTTGACTGTTTCACTGGCAGAGAGGCCTATTTCAACCTGCAGAAGGCAGACAGACTAATGAAGGAACTGAAAGGATTAACTAAGAGAGGCATTTGTGGATGTGGATTATACGTCTCAGAGAAAGATCTAACAATTGCTTTGGGCAGGTAAGATCTGGGTGTAGAGAAGCTGAAGCTTATGAATAAGGCCTGGAGTAGCACATTGTTTTGTGCTCTATTGAAGGGGAGAAAAATATTCATAGTTAAAAAAAAAAAACAGAAACTCATGATAATAAAAGAGGCTTCTATTTATCAAATGTATACTCTGCTCCAAGCTTTAATGTGCACTGCCACACTACTTAATCCTCACAATCATCATTGATGTAGTTGGCATAACTATGCTCTCATTAGAGAGAGGGCATGGAGACCAAGACTGAAGTTAAACACATTGTCCAGGTGACCTATCTTGTAAGTGCTGGATCTGTGATATGAACTCATTGACTCTTAGCCCTTCAGTGTACTGCCTCTCATACTTATTCTAGGGTTGATTATATTTTTCCCTGAATTGCCTCCTACTTTTGACTTTTAATATCTTAACAGGGAAGGAACATTTAATGGAGAGAATTAATTGGATGCCATGAAAGCTATGCACAGCACATGCATTTTTTTAAGGAAAGTATTGTTCCGTGTAGAAACAAAGTTAATGGAATTTGTTCAAGCCAGAATAAGACTTAACTGTTTTTTTTTTTTTTGCAGTTGAGAATAGGAATCCTTTGAGAATCAGAATATTTAGAAATGAGAGTAGGCCCATCATATTATGAGAGAGAGAGAGAGAGAGAGAGAGAGAGAGAGAGAAAAGAAAAGTTTATACTGTTCCCTAGATTTTTCAAATATCTTCAATCCTTGAAAGCAGTCTATTTCCAAAACTGTTAGCACTTGGCACAGTAGGCCAACGGGCCAAATGGTAAGTAAATAAAATGCATTCATCACCTCTGCCTCCTCTAAACAACTGTGGATCTAAAAGTCAAATGGGAAATAGTGGGGAGATGTTAGAATGTCCAGAGCTAAATCAAACTATTGACTTAAGTCCATAAGTTAGAGTATGGTAAATGTCTACTGCTATAACATGGGGCAGTGGCTAATGTTTTTCTGCCTTATACGAAAGAAAGCCTTGTTCCTTTTTCAGAATGAATTCTAGTGCTTATTTTACTCATTCAGTCCACAATATTTACTGAGTAGCTATTTTGTGCATGCACTATTCTACGTGTTAGAATGTTTGCAGTCCAACTATGTACTTGACACTGTTCTGAGTACGTATAATTTATTTCATCCAGTCCTCACCACCACATATGAGGGTAGATATTTTTACTATTTTGATTTTACATGTTTAAGGCACAGAAAGATTAACTCAGAAAAAGAGTAGTTCTGTCACTAATAGATCAGTGCCATGTTTGTAACTAAAGCATCTGAATCCATAGCTCACCTTTTGTACCACACTTAGTTGATATTAGATATCACACTTTGTTAGATATTAATCAAATATCTAGTGAGGGCAAGTCCATTTTTCCATTTAAGGGTAAGGAAACTGAAGAGGATATTCGGGACAGACAACTTGCTAATATCACCCTGAAATCCCTTGATGAAAGCTATTGTCATTCTGTAATTCTGCTTTTATGGTCAAGGGAAATAGTGGTCTGATTGATTAAAAAATTATTTTTATGGGGTTGCGGTTGTAGCTCAGTGATAGAACACTTGCCTAGCATTATGGGGCGCTGGGTTTGTTCCTCAGCACCTCATAAAAATAAAGGCATTGTATCCATATACAACTAAAGGAAAAAAATTATTTTTACAGAGAATTATTGGATAATATTACCAGTGCTCTTTTGATTATTAATCCTAATCTTCAGGGGAAGGATAAACTTTCCAGCTTAAAAAAAAAAAAAGAGGAACTATTGCTAGAATGCCTTAGGTAAAATAATTTTTAAAAGTCACCTCAATATGCATCAAGGGATAAGGGGAAAGTAATAATGACTGTATGTGTATCTGCTATATTTTAGGTGATTTTTACATATAGTATTTAATCTTTGCATTAAATGTGTTTAATTATGTGCTTAATTTGGAAGAAAACATAGGCTTCTAACATTTGATAAAGCTATTAGCCATTAAAAACCAGTTCTGAACTACCCATGTTTTTCTCACTGTGCCTTGTTGTTTCTAGAAAGATAAACCTTGATGAGAGCCTGATCCTTATTTTTTTAAAAAAAGTTATATTTCCAATTTTGTTGTAGGAAATTTGAAAATACAAATGAATATGAAGAAGAAAATAACAGTCAGTTGTACCTCCACCCAGATACAACTACTGTGAACACTTTGGCTGGATGTCTGCTGATTTATCTCAGAATCATATTTGATGCATAGTTTTATATCTTGCTTTTAAAATTAAGCACATTTTGAATATTTCTCCACATTGTTAATCTATAAAAACCAGGACTCGGTAAAGTACTTTAGTATACAAGGTGCCATAAGTTATTTAGCCACCTCCTTAAAGGGATTGTTGCAATGTTTTCTCATCTTTAACTGAGGATGAACAAATTAATTCAAAACAAAGCAGAAACTTTCTTTGACCTGAAAGGGAGAGAACTAGAGGTGATAAACTTTTATTTGGATTTTTGAGAGTATGTTTCTGAGTAAATTATCCCATCTTGTGAATTGTTGGATGCCATTTTCCCATTTTTTATAAAAATTAGTTGATGGCACAACATATTAATGGGTTAAATGAATGTAGGCAGTAGAATCTGATGAGTAAAATGCAGAATAATAGGAGTTTACTTACAGTAAAGCTGGCTCCAGAGCCAGGTACCCTAATGATTGACATATAAAGGTCAAATTTGTTAGTTCCTAGGATTAATTCCTTGTGTCTGCAAAGTAAGTGACTTTCTACTTTTACTCCTTTTCTTGTAGAGCCTCATTGGGCATCCATAGGTTGAACCTAGCTCTGGCATACTTTGAAAAGGTAACTGGTGATGTCATTGCTACCGAGGGTAATGACACATCAGATCTGATTAGTCTCTATGAGGAAATTGCCCAGATTGAGCAGCTGAGGAGGAACCATGAGCAGGCCATCCAGTACTTGAAGCAGGTTAGTGAGTTGGTTGGGACCCAAACTTCCTGGTCTTGTTTGGCCCAAGGGTCAGGGAAGTGTGGGCTTCTTGTGGGTTTCTTAGAACAAGGGGGTGGGATTGGTTCCATGTTAACCCTGACTTCCTGCCAGATCCACACAACACCCATTGTCAACCTTAGGTGACTTGAGCAAAGAATACTGACTCAGGTGAGTATATCAGCTGTGCAACCTTGTCAAGAGACAGTTCTCGCCTTCCAAGGCTTTTTTCTCATCTCTTTGGGTACTGGGAAGAGGAAGGCCAAGTGTGAGTTTACTGTTAGGGGAAAAAACATAGGGGCAACTGAACTTAGGTCTTCAGCAAACACAAAAGGCCTTTTAAATGAAAAAATCATGTTATAATGTTGTCATTTATCCTTTAAGCTAAACTAACTGGTTGTATTTCTAAGTCTAAGGTTAAACTGATAAAAGGTTGTTTCACTTGGAGGTAACTAATTTGACAAATGCCAAAGGGAAACCAAAACAAAACAGAACACAGGAAAGGAATGTTGAGTCTATCATATGAAAACAGTTTAGGGTACTTTGACATATTGTGTACTTCAAACTGCTAGTTGAATGTATCTTTTCTTTCTTCTAAATGTGAATGCTGCTTGTGGCTTCAAGTATCTCCAGTAGCCACAAACAAAACAAAAGGCTGGATTTCCTGCATTGTAGAAAAGTTTGTAGTGCAATCTTAGAGTATATGTGAAAACAGATAGCTAATGAAAAGGCATTGCATATAATTTGACAATCCAAGAGAATAAGCATCCCACGATGGAGAAATGTTAGGAAATACATCTCTAAAGGCAGGGAATCCACTCTTAGAGGAAGCTGCTCTGGGTTTTGAGTTCAAGAGTTCTTAAAGCCAAGGCCAGATCAAAATGGATAAAATTGTAAATATCAGTGTTTCCCATTTTATAAATAAAATTTTATTTATATTTTTTATAAGTAAAAAATAAGGGTTAAAACTCATGGAATGCTTTTATTATGTATACTTGAGTATGTTTTAATTCACTTAAGCCAAGCAAGAACCCTATGAAGGAGGAGGTATCATTATTATTTTGATCTCGTGTTAATGATGAGAAAAGCAAAGCACAAACAGTTAGAGCTAATTAGCTGAAGTTGTATAGCAGGTGGAAAAGTGGGGATTTGAACCCAGAAAATTTCACCCTGGACACTAAAAACAATTCTGTTCTAATTGTTATACATGACAGCAGAATGCATTTTAGTTCATAGCACACAAATGGAGCACAATTTTTCATTTCTCTGCTTGTATGCAAAGTAGAGCAAATAAATAATTTTTTAAAAAATTTGGAATACATCCTAAGATTATATACAATTTGCTATAAATTTTTAAGTTTTCTCCAATGTAAGAGCCCTCATGGTTTCAGAATAGAAAGAGTAAACATTTTTTAAAATTTTGGGGGGTTTATTTTTTTAATTTGTTCTACTTAGTGGTACATGACAACAGAATGCATTCAATTTATCATACACAAATGGAGCACAATAAGAGTAAACATTTTTTAATTTATTGAATGTGACAGGGGACAAGATTTTTATTTTCTGACCTATATGAATCAATACTTAATCAATACTGCTCAGATCGATACTTAAGTGCCTTTGGTTAAGTGAAACAAAATCACTTCCATCTGACTATTGATATAAATAAAAAAGTCATTTTAAACTTAAAAATGAGAAAAAAAAAACAACTCTGCTCTGTATCTTGGCTTTACAGCATTGTCTGATAGTCCAACTCCTTCAAACACCTCTCAGTGTTCAGCCCATGACATATTCAGTACAGGTGTTCTTTTCTTGCTGGTTGGTATGGACTAGATGTTTTTACTCTTCTTTCTTCTTTCTGATGCTCTTTTCATTTTAGCACAAAAAATAATAATAAATAATGAAATCTTAGACTTCTTTAGTTCTTACTGAATGCCAAGTGATGTTCTAAACACTGTACATCTATCAGCTCATTAATATTTACAACAATTGGTTATGACAGTTCTGTTTCTGTCATCTGTATTATGTTTGAAGAAGCTAAGTGATCTATCTTCTATGGAGATTAATCTAAGACAGGATGGGAACTTAGGCAGTGTGGCTGTAGGATCCATGCTTTACAATTGACTTTGATACTGAACTCTTGTGGAGGTTAAAGTTATAATTTTATTTTTGCTGTGAAACCTAGTAAAATTAACACTAGCTAATATTGATTGAGAATTTACCATGTGCTGGGAACTGTGCCCAGAGTTTTGCATACACCAACTCATTTCATCTTTCCCAAGCCCTAATCAGTAGGAACCATATGTTCCTTCTGCATAAGAAGGTGAAATTACTTGAGGAAGACTCAAAGCTGTGGTACAGCTGGGGCATCTTTCATCTAACTCCATGATTAGCTATACATGGCTTTCAATCAACTAGCAATTCTATCAAAGCTACCAGAAAATCTACAGTAAAACTGTCATGTGGGTACTTACTTTGTCATGATTTTTTTTCCAGGCCTATTCTATCTCTGTTTCTTCATTCACTGAAGTCAGCCCTCAAACTGCAGAGGCAAGTGCGTTACTAGCCAAAGCTTATGCCATGTCTGGAAAGCCCCAGCACAGGGGTAGGTAGAAGAGGTGGCCTTGCAGTTTTCATCATTTCCCAGTGAATATGGGAAGATATTAGTGAACAATCTATCTATAAGAAATATTATAATTAGTTACTGATGCTTGTGATGGAAGGATTAGGCAGGTCATGATTTTGTACAAGATCAATTACACATGAATTTAGACCTGATAACATCCTCCCATATTACTTGGAACATCAAAACCAATAAAATCATCTATTTTTGTATTTCCCTTATTCTTTTAGAATCTCAGTATAAGGTACCTTTATAAGATGTAGAAATCATCCATACTATGAAAGTGACTTGTGATGTATTGATTAATAAGGAAAACTAATGATAAAAGAAAACACTGGCTGGTCCTCCCCTCTTCCTCCACTCTCAACCTCCTGGGTTTTTTTCCTCTGGCTTATAAGACAATGTAGCAGTTAGAATTTTCTTGACCTATTTCCTAGAGTGAGTTACTGGAGGAAAGCCAATGATTGATTGATCTTTCAGACAGAGTCTTTTGCCTGGCAAGATCATCTTTTTGAAAGTGGGTGACTTTGGGAGAGACAGAAATGAGCCAGTGAGGGGCTGGGCCTGTGGGTCAGTGTAGACTACTTGCCTAGCATGTGTGAGGCCCTGGGCTAGATTCTCAGCACCGCATATCAATAAATAAATAAAAAAAAAAAGGTCTATCAACATCTAAATCAAAATATTTAAAAAAAAAGAGTTGTGAAGAGTATTTGTATTTAAAAGAAGAAGAAGAAATGAACCAGTGAAGGGAAGACAGTATATTTTTCATAGCTAGCCTGACCAGAAATGAACACTGATTGAGTTGATGCCCAGTCAGGAGGAATTTAGGATTTGTGAACAATGCAATTTGAACATTTTTCAAATGTTTACTTTTTTCTGCTTATAACAGTAATTCATTTTGGTGTACGTTATTTTTCAGTTGGGTGGGGAAGAGGAAGAGAGGATTATAAAATGTTTTATTCCGCAGGTCATTAAATAAACACTTTTTTTTAGTTTGCAGAAGTTTTGACATTTTAATTAAGTTGTTTGCTTAAGCATAAATGTTCACTGAAGACTTTCTAATTCTGTGTTTTCCAGCTCATCATTTTCTCATTTTAATATTTCTTTGTGTATAAGCACAGTTTATGTATTCCATGTATAGTAAAAATTTTTTAAAGTAGTTTTTGTAGTGTTAAGAAATTTAACATATTTATAAACATGTGGAATTTTAGCCTTTTTTTCTGTGAGGGGGAAAATCCCCCCAAATTTATGTTTGTAGAGTTGGTAGATTCTAAGAGCACCTTATCTTTTTCTTACATACTAATTTTTAATGTTAAAATATATATCTTCAAATCATTATTATTCGTTAATTAAGTTAAATTCTGGATAGATTGAGATTTTACACATGAAAACTAAAAATATATATTAGCCAGAGGAAAATACATTCTTGACATAGAAAGTACTAAAATTTAAAATTGGAGGAAAGAAGAACTTTCTAAGCATAAATAAAGATATAACATGAGAAGAAGTTGACTGACTTAATTATAAAAAGATCTAAAACTGTGTCTGTCATAAAAGTGTTGTACTTAAAATCAAAAACATCAAAGCCATAACCTGAATAAATCTTTATTTATTTTTAAAACTGAATTTGTTGTTAATCTCCCATGAAAAGACATCTCCAGGTACAGATGATTTTACTGTGGAATTCTACCTAACATTTAAAGAAGGAATAATAATAGTTCTATTTAATATCCTCCTGAAAATACAAGAGTAGGCAATACTTTTGAACTAATTTATGAGGCTAGCATTACCATCTACCAAAACTGGGCAAATATATTGTAGGAAAAAATAGAAATTAAAAACAACCATAAACCAATACCTTTCATGCATGTAGACAAAAAATCTTCAACAAAATATATAGCAATACATTAAAAAGTAGAATACATCTTGAATAAAAGAAATTTTTCTCTTAAGAATGTCAGGCTAGTTCAATATTCAAACTTAAATAAATACTAAATACATTTTTATCATATTAACAGGCTAAAAATGAAAAGCACACAGTACCTATCAACTGATGCAGAAAAAGCATTAGACAAAATTTAATATCCATTATACAAGGAAACTTTCTTAATCTGATAAGGGTTGTAAGAGAAGTCCTACCACTGAGATCATGCTTATGGTAAAAGACCATGTTTTCTGCACAGTCCAATGACAAGACACGGATGTCTACTGTAACTATTCTTATTCAACATAGTACTAGAAGTCTTAACTAAGGCAATAAGGTGAGAAATTAACAAAATACATAGAGCTTAGAAAGAAGTAAAGTGGTCTCTATTTAAAGACAATGTGGTTATCCCTGTAGAAAATTTCAAGGTCTTCAAAATACCTAGAACTATTAGGTGAGTTTAAGCTTAGCAAGGTCACAGAATAGAAGACCAATGCACAAAAATTAACTATATTTTTATATAGTAACAATACAAGGCTAGAAAAATTTTTTTTAGAAACACCACTTAGAATAGTTCTCTGTCCCCAAATAAAATATTTAGATATAAATCTGCTAAAAAAAAAAAGAACACAACAGAATTTGTGTACTGTAAACTGTAAAACTCTTGATGAAAGACATCAGAGACAACCTGAATAAATAGATATACTATGTGTGGATTAGAAGACTTACTATGATTAAGTTGTAAATTCTTCCATAATTACAATAAAAATTCAGCAGGAATTTTTGTAAATACAGATAAGATGATGTTAAAATTTATATGGAAAAGGAAGAAACTAAAATAGCTGAAAAGATTTTGAAATTAAGATTAAAATTGGAGGAAGAATAGTATCTGATATTAAGATTTTCTATAAAGCAAAAGTAATAAAGAGCGTATGATATTGATAAATGGGAAGACAGAGATCAGTGTCATTAAAATTCAACAGAAAATTCAAGTGTAAACCTATGTAAATATGGTTAAGTTTTGACAAAGATATAAAAGAAATTCAATATAGAAGGGATAATCTTTTGAACAAGTGGTATTAAAACAATTGGATATCCACATGCCAAAAAAAAATTTAACTTAGCCTCTTTACTTATACCATACACAAACATTAACTCATAATGGTTCATTATCCTAAATGTGAGAGCTAAAATTTACATTAACATAGAAAAACAGAGGAGAAAAGATGAAGGAAACTGCATAAAATAAATAAAAATGGCATATAATCATATGAAAAAGTTTTAATCAAGAAACAAGTAACACAAAGATGACATCTTTCTCCTATTGAATTTTCAGTATTTTAAAAAATGGTAATAACATCTAGGATTGATAAAGAGCAGTTTGATACAAGCTATCTGGAGAACAGTTTGGAAAACTCTTTGGAAAAAAACTGGAAGACTATATGCATGTGCAAGGGATATGTAGATGGCCAGTGGAAAGTATCAACCAAGTGATATTTGAAATGTGCCAGGCCTTGCACTGCAGTGCTCATACAGATCAATTGATGGGATAGAAGACTTATAGGCTGGAGGTATTTGAGTACATTCTCTGCCCAAGTCATCAAGTCAACACTATGTAGACACAGGGGTAACCTTCAGGAATCCAAATTAAAAATAAAAATATGTATTAAAACCTGAGTAAAGACTTCCAGTTTTTGGTCTGGCCTTTAAGGAGCTTGGAAATCATCACTGTATCCTAACAAGTAAAAAGCAAACTGAAAAATGAGCAACTCTTCTTAGATCTGTTAGAGAAGTGAGGTTTCCCCTGAATTGGAGAGACAGGTAGAATTACAAAGAAAAAAAGTAGAAACCCTTCTGCACAGGGCCTAATACCAGAGAGGGAGAAACTGAACAGTAAAAAGAAAGAGTAATTTGAAGCTCAGCATGGACACGTCTGAGATTTAAAAATCTCACGGAGACCCAATAATAGTGGGGCCCTGCACACTTTTGTGAGTTTTATCTCTAGGAGCTTGACTAGGTTTTCAAAGTTAATGTTAGAGAAAATCCACTCATTCTCTGGCAGGAGGAGAGAAAAAATAACCACTTGGAGATATGCCAGAGCATTCTTTGGCCAGTTCTCCATAGAAACGGTTTTTAAAAACCAAATCCTACATTATTGAATTCTTTCAGAGTCTACTGATCTTGGGAAAGGAAAATACTCAATTTCAGCACCTTCTAGCTTTCTGCTTTGGGGAAGGGAATTGACTACAATTGACTCATCCATCCTGTCCCACCTAAGAGGAGTAATGAAAAGTACTGTGAAATTCGCAGTCCAGAGGTATAGGCTCATTAAAAGACCAAGACCTAATCATAGGACTGTAGAATGTTTCTCCTCACTTCGTACATTACCATCACAATGCTCAAGGCCTGTTTTACTGCAGTTCCTCTGACAAAGTACATCATATCTCACTATCATACCTGGAAGCTCAGAAAACAAGAAAAAATTGCAAGGCACACTGTCGGGCAGTCTTTCATTACTATGTTCAAAATAACTGATAAGAACTTTAAAGGAGTAAAAGTTTATTTTGGACCCAAAGTTTCAGATGATCATTCCATGGATGGACAGCTTCAGTACTCTGGGACTGAGGCAAGGAACACATCATGATAGGCGGGCTTGGAGGAGAAACACCTCTCAGCTAGGCAACTGGGAAAGCAGAGAGGGGAAGAGCCAAGGACAAAATATATAATTTCCAAGGCATGCCCCCAGTATCCCACTTCCTAAAGCCATCCCCACCTTCCTACAGTTAGCAACTAGTTAGTCCATTCACGTTATAAACATTATAAATGGATTAATCCACTGGTTAAGCTACATCCCTCAATCTCCCTTTACCTTTGACAATTCCTGCATTGTCCCACATGACTTTTGGGGGGACACCTCATATTTAAACCCATAAATACCTAGAAGTCCAAAAACAACATTTGAAAAAACAGAGCAAGATGAACCAAACTCATGTTTGGAATTATCGGACCAGAAATTAAAAGAACTATGACTAATGTTTTAAAGCTTACAATGGATAGACATCATGCAAGAATAAATAATATAACTAGATCGAAATACTTAGAATAATAATTCAAAAAAACACTAGTTGGTGCAATCGTGCATACCTATAATCCTAGTGACTCAAAAGGCTGAGGCAGGTGGATCACAAGTTCAAGGCCAGCCTTGGCAACTTAGCAAGAACTTGTCTCAAAATATAAAATGAAAAGGAATGGTGCTATATCTCAGTGGTAGAGCACCTTTGAGTTCCATCACCAGAACACACACATATACACAAAGAAAACCAAACCAAAAAAGCCCCCCCCCAAATAAAAGGAACACTAGGTAGTTGTTAGAATAACAAAAATGAAGAATGACCTTGATGCACTCATTACTAGACTAAAAATAGCTGAGGAAAAAAAACTATGAAATTGAGAATTTCTCAGTAAAGACTTCAAAAACTGAAAAGCAAAGAGGAAAAAAATACAATACAATATTCTAGGCTTGTGGAACAATTACAAGAAGGTGTAACATATGTATGTGTGGGAACACCAGAAGAGAAGACAGAGAACAGAAGAAATATTTGTAGCAATAACAGAATTTTCCCCAAATTAGTGTCAGATGCCAAATAGCAAACCTGGAAGCTCAGAAAACATCAAGCCAGATAAATGCCAGAATAAAAACACAAACAATCTCTAGCCTAAACCTAGGCATGTCATGTTCAAACTGCAGAAAACCAGACATAAAGAAAAAAAATTGAAAGAAGCCAGAGGTGGCAAAACACGTTGCATATACAGGAGCAAAAATAAGAATTACATCTAACTTCTCACCCAAAATTATGCAATCAAATAGAGAATAGTTAAATGTTTCATTTTGAGAGAGAAAAGAAACCCCCCAGCCAAGAATTCTGTACCGTGAAAAGTTATCTTTCAAAAAGTGAATGAGAAATAACAATTTTCTTAGCAAATTGAAATTGAAGGAATTTGTTACTAGTACACTTGCCTTGCAAGAAATGTTAAAAGAAGTTTCTCAGAGAGAAGGAAAATTATGTAGATCAGAAACACATATGTACACAAGGAAAGGCAAAGCATTGAGAATAAATAAGGGATAGTAAAATAAAAAGTATTTTTTCTTATTCTTAACATAAGTTTGTTCAAAATCATAGCAACAGTGTATTCCATTATTTATAATTTTGTATATGTGTGTGTATACACACGTGTTTAAGCCCATGTAGAAGTAGAATGAATTACAACAATCACACAAGTGATGAGGAATAGAATAGGATTATTTTGTTTTTATAAGGTACTCACATTACTCATAAAGTGATATTGTATTATTTAAATGTGAACTTTGGATTGAAAACTCTAGAGCAACCACTGAAAGGAGTAAAAAGCAAACAAACAAGTATAACTGATATCCTAAAAAGAAAGAAAAGGGAATCACGTAAAATGTTAAATTAAACCATAAAAGGTAGTAAAAGAATGAAAGAAAATATTGGAAACAGAACAAGTGCAACAAAATAGAAAACAATAATGAGGTGAAAGATGTTAATGCAACTATATTAATCACTTTAAACATCAGTGATCTAGGATTAAGGATATAGCTCATGGCAGAGCACTTACCCCATATGTCTGAGACCCTGGGTTCAATCTTCTACACTGAAATAAATAAATAAGCCAGTAGTCTAAATAAATCAGCTTAAAGACAAAGTTTTAATATTCCATCAAAGGCAAGACCCAAATATATGTTTTCTACAAGAAACCCACTTTAAGTAAATTAAAATCATTAATTTAAAGTAACGGGGTAAAGAGATATATCCCTTGCTAACATTAATCAAAATAAGGGAAAAGTGGCTATATTAGTATTGGAAAGAGTAGACTTAGAACAAGAAAAGCTATTAGGGATTAAGAGGGGCATTACATAACAATGAAGGGGTCAGTTCTCCAAGAAGGCAATCCTTAACATGTATGCAGCTAACAACAGAATGTCAAAATACATGATGCAAAATTGATAAAACTAACAAGGAGAAATAGACGCTTTCACTATGATAGAGACTTCCATACCCTTCTATCAGAAATGGACAGGTGCACTGCTTCCTGGCCTTTTGGCTAAGATCAAGTGTAGAAATGGAAAGCTCCAACTGACAAAAGTCAATAAAGGTGAGCTTTAAACTCAATGACATCATCAGTCAACTTATGTAATTGATATCTATTGACTACATGCAATCAACAACAGAATCCACATCTTTTTCAAGCTGCTATGGAACATTCACCAACATAGACCATGTTCTGGGTCATAACAAATTTAAATGAATAGAAATCATACAATCTGTACTCTCAGACCACAATGGAATTAAACTAAATAAATAACAGAAGGGTACTGAAAAATACCCCAGAGATTTGGAGATTAAATAACACATTTCTAAATAATGCATAGGTTAAAGAAGAACTCTCAAGAGAAAATTAAAATATTTTGAGTTAATATTTTTTAAATGAGAACAACATCAAAATTTGTGGAATGCAGCAAAAGTGTGCTTAGAATATAACTTTACAGCATTGAATTAATTGAAAAAAAGATTTAAAATCAATAATGGGACCTACTGCAATATTATTAGGTCATGGTGGACATTGTACTTGGAAGAAATTAGTACTTTTGGGACCCTGGTTAGTTTATTGAGGTTCCATCCCCCACAAAATAGGAACCTCAATAAACAGTGATTTCTGTATCAAGAGTTTTAGTTAAAAATATTGTCTTGCAGTACACTTGGGAGTTTCATGTGGTAATTATTTTAGCTATTAGGATAATAAGAATATTCAGATAGAACTTTCTTTTTCTACATTAAATACATGTATTATATCATGGAAAGCATCTGATAGCATCAGGGTCTTTTTTAAGGGTACTTATGAGATGTAATATGAAAGTAAGCCTGAACTTTAAGTGTCAAATTGTTGATTGAACCAAAGCTGATATTAGAAACTTGTGAAGGCTAGCACTTGTCTTTATTTTTTCCAGATGCTGTTGAGGCATATTTTATAAAAAGTATCAGTGCATATCAAGCAACACTGGGCTTAGAGGATTATGAAACATTGACTACCATTGAAGAATTTTGCAAATGGCTTGTTGAAAATGGAGATAAACAGGTAAACATAATCAGCTCATAAACATAATTGCTAGTTTATTTATTATATCTGGACATCTTTTTTCATCTCATTTCAAACTGGAGCTCAGAAAAGTCTCAGTTAAAACTAGGAATAAAATAGGACTGGTTGGTGCTGCTTGGGATATTAGTAGAGTATTTTTCTCGTATCTTGACACATACTGCCCTTCAAGTACAGAATATACATATAAGCTCTAACTTTATAAGTTTAATATTTTAAGTCATAATTGACTTCTACATTTGGATCTGACTGCCAGTATTTTTTCATTGTGGTATTTACCTCTCAACCTGACCTTCAGCTCTTATTAGCCACAATTTTGACTTCACATTTTAAAATGTTATAGAAAATGCTTTGGACTGCTGACTTTTTATTTAGAAATCTCACGAGCCTAAACTATTGTTCAAAAACTTAAGACCTGAGCTTTTTGTGTTCAAAAATTTAGTGAATACCTTTGTCTGTAATGAGATCCCACATAACTTTGATCTGACCAAACCAAATTTATACTTCCTTGGGTAAGTGAAAAACATGGATAGATTTGATATGGTCACACTTAAAAGTAGGGTTATAGGTTTATGAAAAGTAAGAATTTATTTCTAGGAAGGAAGAAAACTTCTTTATATCACATTGTAATATTTTTAAATAAATGATGACATTTAATTATTATTTTTTTAATTTTAACTGCTGCTTGTTCAAGCAAAAATCCTACAGTAATTTGCGATATTTTTTTTGCACTCATGATATTTTCTGTTGATTCAGACGATTACCACATGATCAATGCCACAGATTGATCTCATGTTTACTTTTACTTTCAAATATGTAAAAATACCTTGTCAGAATTTTAGAGTCTATCTTTATTATGTTCTCATGAGATGAACATCTTGACTTGTTTATGATAAAACACAAATCAGTTCCTGATGGCCTTCTGCTTCTAAACAAGTGCTTCCTAGTGTTCCAAGCTCCTAAACAAAGACATAAAAGGTGGCTCTGAATATAAACTATGTTTAGGATTATAAACAATCATCTTAACCACTGGAAAGCAAATTTCAAGAGGACAGGAAATTTTGTCTTTTAGTCAATACAGTGTATCTATTGGCTGAAATGTAGTTGGAACACGGAAGGTGCTCAATAATAATGGAATTAAATTGTCAATATTTATAGCACATTTTTTATTTTATTTTTTTTTATTTTTTTTATTGGTTGTTCAAAACATTTCAAAGCTTTTGACATATCATATTTCATACATTTGATTCAAGTGGGTTTTGAACTCCCAATTTTACACCAAATACAGATTGCAGAATCACATCGGTTACACATCCACATTTTTACATAATGCCCTATTAGTGACTGTTGTATTCTGCAACCTTTCCTATCCTCTACTATCTCCCTTCCCTCCCCTCCCATATTCTCTCTCTACCCCATCTACTGTAATTCATTTCTCTCCTTGTTTATTTTCCCATTCCCCTCACAACCTCTTATATGTAATTTTGTATAACCATGCGGGTCTCCCACCATTACCATGCAATTTCCCTTTTCTCTCCCTTTCCCTCCCACCTCATGTATCTGTTTAACATTAATCTTCTCTTCCTGCTCTTCCTCCCTGCTTTGTTCTTAGTTGCTCTCATTATATCAAAGATGACATTTGGTATTTGTTTTTTAGGGATTGGCTAGCTTCACTAAGCATAATCTGCTCTAGTGCCATCCATTTCCCTGCAAATTCCATGATTTTGTCATTTTTTACTGCTGTATAATACTCCATTGTGTATAAATGCCACATTTTTTGTATCCATTCATCTATTGAAGGGCATCTGGGTTGGTTCCACAGTCTAGCAATTGTGAATTGTGCTGCTATGAACATTGATGTAGCAGTATCCCTGTAGTACGCTCTTTTAAGGTCTTCAGGGAATAGTCCGAGAAGGGCAATAGCTGGTTAAAATGGTGGTTCCATTCCCAGCTTTCCCAGGAATCTCCATACTGCTTTCCAAATTGGCCGCACCAGTTTGCAGTCCCACCAGCAATGTACAAGAGTATCCTTTTCCCCACATCCTCTCCAGCACTTGTTGTTGTTTGACTTCATAATGGCTGCCAATCTTACTGGAGTGAGATGGTATCTTAGGGTGGTTTTGATTTGCATTTCTCTGACTGCTAGTGATGGTGAGCATTTTTTCATGTACTTGTTGATTGACTCTATGTCCTCCTCTGAGAAGTGTCTGTTCAGGTCTTTGGCCCATTTGTTGATTGGGTTATTTGTTTTCTTATTGTTTAATTTTTTTGAGTTCTTTGTATACTCTGGATATTAGGGCTCTATCTGAAGTGTGAGGAGTAAAAATTTGTTCCCATGATGTAGGCTCCCTATTTACCTCTCTTATTGTTTCTCTTGCTGAGAAAAAACTTTTCAGTTTAAGTAAGTCCGATTTGTTGATTCTTGTTATTAACTTTTGTGCCATGGGTGTCCTATTAAGGAATTTGGAGCCCGACCCCACAATATGTAGATTGGAGCCAACTTTTTCTTCTATCAGACGCAGAGTCTGTGACTTGATATTTAGCTCCTTGATCCACTTTGAGTTAACTTTGTGCATGGAGAGAGGAGGGGATTCAGTTTCATTTTGTTGCATATGGATTTCCAGTTTTCCCAACACCATTTGTTGAAGATGCTATCCTTCCTCCATTGCATGCTTTTAGCTCCTTTATCAAATATAAGATAGTTGTAGCTTTGTGGATTAGTCTCTGTGTCCTCTATTCTGTACCATTGGTCCACCTGCCTGTTTTGGTACCAGTACCATGCTGTTTTTGTTACTATTGCTCTGTAATATAGTTTTAAATCTGGTATCGCTATACCACCTGATTCACACTTCCTGCTTAGAACTGCTTTTGCTATTCTGGGTCTTTTATTTTTCCATATGAATTTCATTATTGCTTTATCTATTTCTACAAGAAATGCCATTGGGATTTTGATTAGGATTGCATTAAACCTATAGAGAACTTTTGGTAATATCGCCATTTTGATGATGTTAGTTCTGCCTATCCATGAACAGGGTATATTTTTCCATCTTCTAATATCTTCTTCTACTTCTCTTTTTAGGGTTTTGTAGTTTTCATTGTATAAATCCTTCACCTCTTTTGTTAGGTTGATTCCTAAGTATTTTATTTTTTTTTTGAGGATATTGTGAATGGAGTGTTTTTCCTCATTTCCGTTTCAGAAGTTTTGTCGCTGATATACAGGAATGCCTTTGATTTATGCGTGTTGATTTTATAGCCTGCCACTTTGCTGAATTCATTTATTAGCTCTAATAGTTTCTTTGTAGACCCTTTTGGGTCTGCTAGGTATAGAATCATGTCTCTGCAAATAGTGATAATTTAAGTTCTTCCTTTCCTATTTTTATGCCTTTAATTTCTTTCATCTGTCTAATTGCTCTGGCCAGTGTTTCGAGAACTATATTGAATAGAAGTGGTGATAGAGGGCATCCCTGTCTTGTTCCAGATTTTAGGGGGAATGCCTTCAATTTTTCTCCATTCAGAATGATGCTAGCCTGAGGCTTAGCATAGATAGCTTTTACAATGTTGAGGTAAGTTCCTGTTATCCCTAGTTTTTCTAATGTTTTGAACATAAAGGGATGCTGTACTTTGTTGAATGCTTTTTCTGCATCTATTGAGATGATCATATGGTTCTTATCTTTAAGTCTATTGATGTGGTGAATAACATTTATTGATTTCCGTATATTGAACCATCCTTGCATCCCAGGGATGAATCCTACTTAATCATGGTGCACAATTTTTTTTGATGTGCCTTTGTGTCCGATTCGCCAGAATTTTATTGAGGATTTTTGCATCTAGGTTCATTAGAGATACTGGTCTGTAGTTTTCTTTCTTTGAGGTGTCTTTGTCTGGTTTTGGAATCAGGGTGATGTTGGCCTCATAGAATGAATTTGGCAGAGCTCCCTCTTTTTCTATTTCCTGCAATAGCTTGAAAAGTATTGGTATTAATTCTTCCTTAAAGGTTTTGTAAAACTCCGCTGTATACCCATCCGGTCCTGGGCTTTTCTTGGTTGGAAGTCTTTTGATTGCTTCTTCTATTTCATCTATTGATATTGGTCTGTTTAAGTTGTGAGTATCCTCCTGACTCAGTCTGAGCAAATCATATGACTTAAGGAATTTATCGATGTCTTCACTATCTTCTATTTTATTGGAATATAGGTTTTCAAAATAATTTCTAATTGTCTTCTGTATTTCTGTAGCATCTGTTGTGATATTGCCTTTTTCATCCCGTATGTTAGTAATTTGAGTTCTCTCTCTTCTTCTCTTCGTTAGCATGGCTAAGGGTCTGTCGATCTTATTTATTTTTTCAAAGAACCAACTTTTAGTTTTGTTAATTTCTTCAATAGTTTCTTTTGTTTCAATTTTGTTGATTTCCGCTCTGATTTTAATTATTTCTTGCCTTCTGCTACATTTGCTGTTGTTTTGCTCTTCCTTTTCTAGGGCTTTGAGATGAAGTATGAGCTCATTTATTTGTTGGTTTTTCCTTTTTTTGAGGAATGACCTCCAGGTGATGAATTTCCCTCTTAAAACTGCTTTCATTGTGTCCCATAGATTCCGATATGTTGTGTCTGTATTTTCATTTATCTCTAAGAATTTTTTGATTTCTTCCTTTATGTCTTCTGTAACCCGTTGATCATTCAGTAACATATTGTTCATTTTCCATGTGATGTAGGATTTTTCCTTCCTTCTTTTATCATTGATTTCCAGTTTCATTCCATTATGATCAGATAAAATGCGTGGGATAATCTCCACCCCTGTATATTTACTGAGGGTTGCCCTATGGCATAATATATGGTCTATTTTTGAGAAGGATCCATGTGCTGCTGAGAAAAAAGTATATCCACTTGATGATGGTTGATATATTCTATATATGTCAGTTAAGTCTAGGTTGTTGATTGTGATATTGAGTTCTATAGTTTCTTTATTCAACTTTTGTTTGGAGGATCTGT